ATTTCGCAAACCGTTTTAATGCGTACCTTTGGACATATTTAAAATACAAACTTTGCCCCCACCCCACCCACATTTCGGTAGTTAGAGGAGGCAAAAAGGAGAAAAAAGACCCTCCGCGGAGGGGGGTGAAAAATGCGTAGTTTTAGCTAATCTGCATGGGGGCCTGTTTAAACAGGCCTTTTTAACACTGTACAAAAATGAGGCGGGGTGGGGTGTGTGTGCTATGAGTATTTATGTGAGGGAGTTAATATGGGTTGCCATGGCGACGGACCGATTACTGCACCGCGTCTGCCCGATTTTTCGTTGCTTTTCGTTGTAATCAAATGAGGTGCGTATGTGGGGGCCTTCTGCCCCCCCGGGGGGACACGCGTGTACTCAATTATCCGCAGTGAATCAATAGCAGGATGAGGGTAGTTGTGATGTTTGTGACGTGATGCCGTCTTTTTGTAGGTTTTAATTTTTCTCTCTCTCGCTCTCTGTCTCGCTTCCGTTTGCAATATTGCGCGGTGACCTACTTCCGGATGAGTTTTCCGGATAAAGACGATTATGAATGTTAATATTCGGTTGTACAATGATTGGTGTACGTATAAATTCCAAATGAATAATTCCGTTTCTTGATGAACCTTATTTAAGTTTAATCAAACCTATTCATTCATTTCGTGTCATAATTTGTGAGACTAATTACCAAATTAATCCTGTAGAATTTGTGTACTCATATCAGGTAATTTACAATTAAATGATTAGTTACAATACGACAAAGTTACATTTACACTACCTAATCAAAGTATGGAAATAAACATTTAAGTTAAAAGTGATGATTTGTGTGTTGACTGTACCTATTATGTCTGAATTTCAACCCACGGTTAGTTAACATGCGTTAAAGATAACTTACCACAGTTAATCTAAACCACATCTACATTTAAACTGAATACCTAACCTACCCATATTTTTATACAGGGTGGAATTTTGTAATGCCACCTGGAGGGAAAGTACTCTTAATACTGTAGATAGAAAATTTTACTGAAAGAAAACATTCCTTTATTTTTGAAAAGAAAGAGAACTGCATTCGAAGATTTCCGAAAAAAATTTAAAAATTCACTACCATACCATACAATTTTCTGTAACATAATTAAAATAATTTAAGATTTCATGGTTTTTCCTTTCATTTGATTTATCAAGTTTGTTAGAGAGATTTCATCCCTATGCTTAACCCTAACGATCGATGTAATAAAAATACAGGGTGTAATTTTTAACAGATTATAGTTGGTTCGATTCCCGGGTGTGGCAAGCATATTTTTGGAAATCTTTAAATGCAGTTCTATTTCATTTAAAAAATAAAGGAATGTTTTCTTTGAGAATTTTTTTCTATCTACAATATTATACAAAATTCCACCCTGTATTTCCCAAATCCTGCCATCTGTCTCTATATCACGAAACTTAATCTATTAGGAATATTCCCATGGAAAACTGATTTCCGTACTAGAGCGGTTCGTCCTGGTTGGGGTACAACCAGGACGAACCGCCCTAGTACGGAAATCAGTTTGCAGCACCACCCTACAGATGGCGTTGTTACAAATGCTGCCCTCTAGCGGAATTTTCTTGCAATACATTTTAGATGGTTCGTTTGTGACGTAGAAACACAATGTTCACAGGGCTGAGTGCGAGCTTTTTTCTAACTCGCTTAGTGAGCGCGTCAAAAAATGACATTAAATGTATGACGGATTGTACAGCGCCCCTAGCGGGAAACTTTCAAAAACTAAAATTTTCATACATTTTCTAAATGCGCTCACTGATGTAAACTCACACTCAGCCCACTGGTACATGGACAAAATATTATGTCAGCAAAAAAAAATATTAGAAGAAAAAATTTTTTTCTCTCCTTTTGTTTATCTTTGTATGAAATGACTAGTTTTCACGCGTTCAAGGGGTTTTGTTGAAAAAATAACCAATTTCGCAATGAATTTAAACGGGAATTGTATTGTTTTTTTTATTGTATTGTATTGTTTGTTTAACATTGTATTGTATTGTTTAACACAAATATTCATGATTTTTATGATATCTCCTGCACTTGTGTAAAATCATGCATTTTGATTCATAATGTTGTAATTAGATTTTACGACTTTGATGAGAAATGAAACTTATTCATACTGGAATAATAATATGTCAAGGGTTCATAATTAAAGAAAAAACACAGATAAATTTTGCAAATTACTTAAAATTTATTTATAAAAGTAACCGTATTAATAAAATATTAAATCATTAATGCGAAACATAAAATCGATAAACAATTACTACTAACTATTCATTATTATTTTATAATAGTAACTATTTATGTTCTTCCTCCCTTCTCGACCCACCTTAAATAATAAAAAAGACGTAAATACAATTTTCAATATTTTTACAAAAGACAACTTTGAAAATAAGTTAACCTAAAACGTCTTACTTATGCTAGTTAATGCTGTAATAGATTTCATCAGAACTATCAAAAAATCATAAAAGATCCAAAAATTTCAAAAAAAGACTCAAGTAAAAATAAGGTAGCTTAATTATAAAAATACTGACGGTTCAATAATTTTTTTAGAGATAAAATACATCAACTTTAAATAATACGAAGTCTATCGCCAAACAATAAAGTTCCGATTCGCTTGGCACGCAAATTTTTCGTTTGTTACACACGGACGGCACTAATGCTAAAGCACAACAAATTGTGTTTTTATTATATATTTTTTAAATAGAATCTTTTTTTTTCATAACTTTAATTAAAATAAAGTCGCGAAAACGTATAAAAAAACGCAATAATGTTTTTAACAGAGTAAGATTTCATTGACCCAGTTAAAAAGAAATTTATCTTAAAACCACAAATACTTTTAATTTGAAAAAAAAAAAAAAGAGTTGTTACCTTCTTAATTATTCTAGTCAACGCTTTGTGGTCTTGACTTGAAAGCCATAGCAACATTGTATTTTGTATAGACTCCTTAACTTTCAAGCAAATAATATAAAGCATTCTTTAAACGTGGAAAACCAGTAAAATCAGGCAATGCCTTTACTTTTTTTATTGAAACGGACATAAATTGAAAACATGTTTTACAAAACGCTTGTTAACAAAAATTCTTGCAGTATTTTTAAATTTTTCAGTTACAAAATAATTTTATTTTGACGATACATGACTGAAAACCCCGTGACCACCATCATTCCACCGAGCAACGCCGCGGGCAGTTACTATCTCTAAATATGATATCAATTCCGTTTTCTATGTTAATAACTTGACTCTGAATCAACTATCTTATGCTATAAGCGAAAATTGGTGTGTTTGTTGCTTCACTACACACTTGACAATTATACTGGAAAATGTACCATATGTATAATTTGGTCTGCAAGAGCACCACTAATTTAACAGAGGATAATGGAGAATTTAACCTAGGTTCCTTACAGTCCCTTAGCATTATCTATAATAATAATAATAAATAATCAATAAATAATCTTTATTCACAAATATCATTTCCTGTGATGTAATAAACCACAGCTTCTGCACTAGGCTCGCAGGCCTGTGTCGCAGTAGTTCTGATACCTATATTTTTTTAGGTTTTGTGGGTGCATCTTATGTTTCGTTGCTTCATTTTATTTCATGATATCAAAGCATGCCAAATACCCTGTCTTTTGCATAAAAATTACGTGATAATCCAAATAAAATATTAGTGGCTGATATTTACAGACTCTGGCCTACCGTGTCATAGCTGTCATGACCGTAGCTTTCTCGGAATGGCTACTAGATCTTGAGATTTTGATATAATAAGTCACCAAATATATCTTCTTTCTCTGTAGGTATAATTGTCAAGCTGTGTTTAGGCGATTATCACACTGCACCGCGCTCCGCCGCGGTCCGCGTGGCCACATATGTATAACGAATCCCGCGCGCAAACGCGTTGTCAGTGTGTTGTGCTGCGCGTGTTTTCTATACAAACTGAGGTACTTGCATATAATTATTAAATCTGTCGTCTCGCGTACCGCGGCGGAGCGCGGTGCAGTGTGATAATCGCCTTAGTGATTGTNACAATCTTGTACACCCTGTACTTAGTAAGTGTTACTTAACTATACAGGGTGTAAATATTTAGAATAAATAATAATAAACACTGGTACAGTACTGAAATAATAAACGATTTACTATCTAAATTACACAATAATTACTCTTTAATAATTGTAGCATCCTTTTACTAAAATTAATAAGATATTTTATAGATAGCTAGCTAAAGTAACAAAATATAATTCCGTATATTTTTGATTAAATAAATTATTTCATAAGACCATAAAGTTTTCGTTCGTAATATCATAACCGTCAGTTTGAAGACCCTAATCTATAAGTACGTTAAAGATACCACTACTGAGCGACAAACAATGATGACACGATCAACGATGAACTTGGACCACACAGCCTGTAATTTTTGAAAGATTTGGGATTCGAAGTTTTTGTACTTTAAAGCCTAATAACGTCCACTGCTAGACTAAAGCTACCTCCAAGGATTTCCATAACGACCAGTCCTGCGCTGCTTATACAGGGTGGAATTTTGTAATGCCACCTAGAGGGAAAGTACTCTTAATATTGTAGATAGAAAATTTTACTCAAAGAAAACATTCCTTTATTTTTGAAAACAAAGAGAACTCCATTCAAAGATTGTTGAAAATTTTTCGAAAATTCACTACCATACCATACAATTTTTTGTAAATAATTAAAATAATTTAAGATTTCATGGTTTCATTTCCGGGTGTGGCATGCACATTTTTGGAAATCTTTGAATGCAATTCTATTTCTTTTCAAAAATAAAGGAATGTTTTCTTTGAGTAAAATTTTCTATCTACATTATTAAGAGTACTTTACCTCCAGGTGGCATTACAAAATTCCACCCTGTATACTACGTACTTCAAGCGACCACCATCAGTAAATCAAGGGGCAGTGGGTCGGGNGGGCGGGGCACATAGCTCTTAGAGCTGATAGCCGCTGGGACAGAAAAGTTCTCGAGTGGTGACCACGGGCTGGAAGACGTAGTGTGGGCAGACCCCCACTAGGAGGACCGACTTGTAGTTTAATTATCAAAAATGTACACTTTGATCTGAGGCTGTGTGGTCCACGTCTATAGACTACTAGAAACCTGAACAACAGCAACGTGAAACTTCAACGCAATGGAGACAACGGAACAGCCCTGATAGAAGCTTACATTTAATTAACTAGCTCTAGGAAACTTTACAAAATTACCTCTAGCACTGAACCTAGCTAGGTATCCAATGTGAGACAGCTAAACAATTTCCACAACCTTCACGAAAAACATGGTTTAATAAATTCATTCAAGATATAACAAATACACCATCAATACAAAAGTTTGCACAACTATGAACAAGTCTGATTAATGTGATATTTTTTCACTCACATTGGAACCTGATCTCACCATTCCATCAAAAATACCCATGTCCACATCACATTTCATCTTATCTATGTACATTTGATACTCGATAACATCGACCTGTCTAAAAATTAACTAGTCGAGTCTGATTTCCCAGACTCGTTCTCTTCGGTGATCGTAATCATTGGGGGTGCTTCGAAAGAACTTTCTCTAGGAGACGTTTCGTTCATCAGCTTCTCAAACTTAGGGGAACCAGAAGGTAGAATAGCATCTTTCACCGTTTCATATACATCTGTCCTGATTAATGGGAGCGATGCTCTTTTTCCTTTACTCATCTCTCTGGGAAAATCATCTTCTTTTATCGTCTCCATACCACTATTTTTCTCAATGACAGGGTCAGGAATGTTATCTTCTTCTAACCGTACTGGTAAACTATCAGCTCGATTCAAAACCTTTTTGGGGCTGTCAATCTTTCCTGATATTAAAACAGCCACCCCATTTTCCAGTTTCTTCTCTTTCTGATCGTGTAAATGTTGGAGGCTGTATTCCCTGGCTTGTACGTCTGACAGCAGAGGACCGTCTGTGGAGCCTTCGAGGCAGTAGCCAGGACCTTGCAGCGCATCGTTGCCAATGATAGAATCTTGCTTGAATATCGCAGCAGTCACAACTGGTTTGTCAGGGTCAGTTGGGGTTTTGCTAATCAACGGTTCCTGGGAGTTGTCGCAAACTATCCCACCATCGACAGCGTCTTCCTTGGTATCGTAGCCAGCGTACACAGGATACCCGAAAGGTCCTTGTTCATATCCCATTTGGCTGCCATAAGAGTAACTTACGTTATGGGACCCAATGGAGGACATGCTGAGGTCTGATATGGAGAGACCTGTGCTGGACAGCGCTAATGCTTTGGGGTTTTCAAATTTCCCGCTGCTTCTTTCGCTGTCTTCTTCTAAGTTTTTCTTATCTAGTTCCTCGGGAACTCTGTGGATGAGTGCTTGGTTGGTTGAGATTTGAGGATCATGAGGCGGCGAATTCTGAAGATTCTTGTTGGTGGGGCGGTAGGCTGTGGACTGCTGGACCTCCACGACGAAAATGCCGTCGTTGTCCGGCGAATACTTCATCTTCGTTTCACGTCCATTTTTCGCTATGTCCTGAAATTACGAGAAAATTGAAGTTAAAATCAACACATATTTGAAAATTCGAAGTGGCAACAAAAACAAGCGTTAAATGAGCAGTTTGAAAGGTTATAATAGGTCCACCTAGAAAATGGCTGAATTTAATTTAGTTTGCGACTGTTAATTTTTGCTAACTTGCATTTGTTTACAACTAAGTCTAACATTAGTATAAAATTGCAAAGCAAAAACATGACAACATTTAGCAAAATATTGAGTAACTCTTTTAAGTGAAAAGGGAGACAAACTCAAATAAATACTAAATAACAATATCCATCAATACCCAACGTCTTTTGTTACATTAAACGTTTCCAATTCGGGCAATAAAACACCCTTCGAAGTTTATTGGTTCAAATTTAATTCTGAATCAAAGAAACTCCGCGAAAAACGGATCAATCATGGAGGGATGGAGGCTGGAGCCTCTCAATTAGGTAAATATTTGTAGGAGGCCGACAATTAGGCTTTGATGTGTATTTGAATGGAATATTTTTAAAATATTTTACCGAAAGAGAGGCGGGGTAAAGATAGCAGTCAGCTGACATCATTATATTTTTATACGTTTTCTTCACTGTTAAGTGTTATTTTACACATTTTCGCGGATTTCAGTCAATCACTGAGAGTTATTACAATCAAAAACTATTTCTTACTAAAAGCATTTTGAATTTTCATACCTCTCGTGAAAAATAATGTATTCCCAATGCAAACTTTGATCTTTGCCTAGATCTTCAAGTTTTTTTCAATTTAGCTTATATCTTTTTCTTTGTAACAAAGTAAACTAATAAATTAGTTAAAAAACCGTTTCAGGCATGAACAAACAAACATACAGAGTTACTATAATAGTAATTTAAGAATTTTAATATTTCTCGTTCAATCTACATAGTTTTACCATTTTATCTGTCAGTAACATTTATCAATATTAGAGCCAAAAAAGTACACTTAAGCTGAGTTGCACCAACTTACTTTAACCATAATTATAACAATAATCGGAGTTTTTTGTATAGAATTTGACAGATTTTTGATGTTTGTTAAAGTTAAAATAAGATGGTGCACCCAGCCTAAGTTTATCAAAAAAACCGATACCCACATTCCTCTCCTCGGTTTCGACGATGAGGTGGTTGTTCTTGAGGGTCATGGTGAAGATGGAGCCGTTGGCCGGTGGAGCCTCCCCGTCGCCCTGGCTCTCCTCGGTAGGGGATTTCAGCTGGAAAGAGAGAAAATGCTATTAATATTGATAATTATGTAATGCAGGAAAACTTTTCACAAGATGTAGTCCCATTTGGGATATTATATCATCACATGGCTTTGGGGGAGACCGAACAGAGTTGTCACAAAGCCGATTTCTCGGCGCCTAAGCACTTAGCGAGTTGACAATTTCACAACAACTGTGGAATTTTAAAGGATCAACGAGATCACGAGGTTCCTAGCTCGATAAACAGTCTTAGGCTGGGTTGCACCATCTTACTTTAACTTTGACAAACGTCAAAATTCTGTCAAACTCCATACTAAAAACGCCGGTTATCGTCATAGTTACGGTCAAAGTTATGTGGTCAAACTCGGCCTTAGGTGCAGAGAAATTGACTTTGTTACAACCCACCTCTGTTACAACTCTCCTCGGTCTCCCCTACTGTATTCGAAGTAGAGAATAGCAGTTCAATGAGTCAAAAGTCAATGATTAGACAATAATCTGGCCAGCGTAGGGAGTAATCTTGAACAGTGGAGAGACTAAATGACAATTACATCAATAAACTATTTAATTAAGTATGTAGTTAAGATCCAATCCACCCATTACCGACTTAAGACCCGGTCTCCTGCCAAACGTGCAGGTGCTCTTACCAAAATTTAATAATCTATACGTTACTTAGTAAACGCATCAGCGCGCTTAGCGACTGGGGTTAAAGCCCTAACATTGCCAAACTACTTATGGCTTTTTAAACCAATTAATATTTATCTTGCCTTTAGCAAGACACATGAAAAAGATACTCATTTTCAACTATAAAAATTGCTAAGAATTGTTATTCTTGTAAAGTTACTCTCTCACACCTCCATTACCCACGACAAATAAAAAAAACAAATCAGAAAAAAAGTCCCCACAAAAATGTACTACAATCCACGTTTTCATCCAAAACTATAAAACTTTAGTCACCCGGTCATATCTCTATTTACTTCGCGCTCAAATTCAAGGATAAGTGACTGACTACATAGTGGCACATGGCTCTACATGGCCGTGACAAAGGCTCTATTTACCGAGTTTGGGCTAATGACTGGCGCATTGACGAATCGTTCACCCTCGCCCACGTGAGAAGGCGCACGTGAGAGGAGGTAGCGACAAGGACATTGAATACCCTACTACCCTAGATCAAAGTGTTTCTTAAAAAACCTGACCATACCACAGTCATATTATATGGTGGCCATACACGTTAGGGTTTGCATGATGGTTTTGACCGTCTTAACCGACATGCAAACCCTAGCGTGTATGTTATAAAACTGTACAGTTATTGGTGCGTGTACATGCAACCTAACGAATATCAAAAAAGATATTTTTGCCGCTCGGTTATGTTTGCGCACATGCATAACCGAGCGTGTGTGTGCCCGCTCATGCTTGCATGCACAGTTTTATCTCAGTCTCCTATAGTCTGTGGCAGTGAATGGTGGTGAATATTGAAGACACTCATGTGTTCTCCCTATTGCAAGAAATCTTAATGTTACTGCTAAATAAATAAATTTAGATTGTAGGTACATGCAAACCCTAACGTGTATGTGCTAACGATAACTCGGTTATACCTGTCGGTTAAGCATGTACGGTCGTAACCATCATGCAAACCCTAACGTGTATGGCCACCATTATGCCACCAAAAGTCTCTTAATCGAATTGCTGCTTTTTTATTAAGCGAGTATGTAAAGCCTTTTTTATATTAAGCCTTAAAATTGTGCTTGAATTCCTAAGAGGTTCGTGGACAAAAAAGGATAAGGAACGCTGCCCTAGATGCAATTATACGTATAAAAATCTCGGTTAAAAAGTGTCCCAAAAGTAGCACGCCCATACACGATAATGATAATGGACAACGATAGGTTTTCTGGGGCCGGCACATCCATCTTTTCCTCATCGTCTGGCACTTTTATCCAGGAACATACTTCATCCAATGGATAGAATTTTCGTGGATGATAAGGAATGTGGAAAGGTAGAAGTACAAAAGAAGAATCAATGGTTAGAAATGAACTATGGTATCATCTTCTGCGCGGAGACCACGCAAAATATGATAAGATCATAGGTACTTCAACTATTTTACTATGAGTAGGTCGGTCTTTAAGGTAAAAAGGCTACAACTTCAGTACCTTATACTCTCCATTTCTCATTGGACTATCACTTATTTTAACTTACTATCTGATGTGATGACTATACTTTTGACTTTGCAATGCCCTAGCAAGGCTCATGTTTATCTCTAAGTTAATGTACTACATGATGCAATGAAATTAATTAGGTATGATGCCCTCATTTTTACACGCTTGGTGCACAGACAAATACTTACGGCTTAATAAAATAAACTTATTTTCTTTATCTCAGTCGCACCAAACATTTCATAACCTAAAAAACCGTAATTTTATTCTAGCACCTCCAACTTTACTTACCCGCTCTTCGCTCTCTCTTTAAAATACCCGCGAAAATCCTAACCACATAACCGAGATCCCTAAACTTTCATCTAAACCCGTCCCCGTAACCGATATGTGGACCAACCGCGAGAGTCGGGGGTCAACTTACGCTGGTCACAGCATGCGTATGACCATAGGAATTCTTTCTTAATATACCTTTTTGATTATGACAGCAACTGTGTAACTTTTTGGGAGTTTCAACTGTATTTTTAGGGTGGTAGAGCTGGATTTTGGTTGTCGAAGATTAGTTTTTGTGTAGGTTGGAAAAACGATCAAAAAACGTTAGGTATTTCGACTTTTTGACAGCTAATGAAGCGTGTCCAGGTGTGAACAACCAGCCTTCTTGGGAATAATAATTAAGGTTGTTGCGGTTTATTTTTGGTAACGATTGATGATACAGTTTTAAGGTTTCTATTGATACCTCCCTTTGTGTGACAAGAAAACCAGGTTAAATTTTCTATAGGGACATATTTAGTTTAAAAAATACTCCGTTTTTTAATACCACGCAAAATAAGCAATCACAGAAACTATTACGATTTGAAAGAGTACAATTCAGAGGGTTCATTGCTAGGAAGCAATTTTTTTTCTTTCAGAACTTTGAAATAACTTTTCAGCTATAAAGAATCATCTACGATAATAAAGTAAATATTGATAACTGAACTTACCATATCAAATCATTGAATTTACTTAAAATACACCATAAAAAGTAATAAAGTTTATTGTAAATTAATTACCTACTCATCTTCTTACGTACAACGTCAAACTACTCTTTCGTTCTTTCTGTCATGAAAAACTTAAGCGGCGTTTTTGTCTGTCATAAATGTGCTATAGAAAATCCGGTCTCTAAATCTAGCCTACGTAAAGACTAACAACATTTTAAACCCCTAATGCCTAACAGAAAATAAGTGTCGGACCTCATTCTAAAATCGAAAACCTAGATTCAAAAATTTTACTAAATTCACCCTATGTACTGGCATTTTCAAACCAAAAAAAGAACAAAAGTTATTTTCGGCCAACTGCTAACTCCCAAACTCACCCTAGGTACTGGCACTTCAAACCAAAAAAAGAACAAAAAATATTTTCGGCCAAGTGCTAACACCCAAAATTCACCCTAGGTACTGGCACTTCAAACCAAAAAAAGAATAAAAATTATTTTCGGCCAAATGCTAACTCCCAAAGCCAGGCTAGGCGGCGGGGTCGTCGGCCGGTCGTCGCCCGCTTTCGGCGCGAGCGCAGCCTCCTGCACTGCTGCACTTTTTAGATGCACCTACTCTTGTTATATGACTATCTAACAGTGGCACAGGGAGTGGTGTGGAGTGGCGCGTGGTGTTTTTTTAGGACAATAATGACGCTTTTCATAAAATATTTCTTGAAGGGGACTAAATTGTGTACTATTTTGTACTTAGTACTTATGATTTCTGTCTTTTATGTTACAAAACGTAGCAATTTTTATACATTTTAACTGTTATTACAATGTCACCCAGGCGCATGTGACCACCCGAAATTGTCTAAAAAAATTTTCATGAATACATATATTTAGGTCACTTGCGCCTGGATGACATTATGTGGACAAGAATATATTGTAGAGCAAACATTTTAAATGTTTCTTTTGTTTGTTTTAGGTACGAATAAACATAGTTATCTTAATAGATCCGGGCCCATTGAAACTAAAAAGTAAGATAGTTTTTTTTCTCGAATACATTTACCACGTAATTTATTTACCTGTTTATCGTACGTTACTCTGCTGTTACCGGTACATAAAGTGGGCTGCTCACAGTAAACTCAAGTACCTAAAGTAGTAGTTAAATATAAACACAACAAAAAACGATTCACAGTGCCATAATTATTTCAGCCTGATAATTTTCATTCCAATAATCCTCTTTAGAAAGAAGACTAATGACTAAATTCCAAAAATTAAAAATTGCAATGCTACTCCACCCCTTTTCTGTGCGCACACGCATTCATCGGCGCAGTGCGTTGCACTATAGCGAGCCAGTTTGACTAGATTTTTGGCAACCCGCCCCTCCGCGCCCCTCGCCCCTCGCGAGGCTTTGATGACTTAGCGGGCGGGCGACGCCATGATCTTGCTATGTCATTGATGATGACACTGAATTTTGGCAGGGGATTTAACCCTTTGGACAATATTCCTTGATTTACTCATAGAAATACGTTTTAAATGTTTTTTAGCTCATCAATAATCCCTAAAATAACTCATGAAGAATGAATTTTTTAAAGCTATTTCATTTTCATTTCTTTGCTTAGATTTGAATTTGATTTGAACTCAATAATAAATCGTTCATTTGACTTTGAAATTATAGAACCTACAAAACGAAACGCAAGAAAATTAAGATTAGGAAATAACTGTGAGAAAATGCTGAAAAGAAGAAAATTGTCATCTCTTATAAAATACCTAAACCTTACTCTTTTGGCTGTTTACGAAAAATATTACAGTAAGGAATGTTTGATAATATCTAAGTCGTTTATGTGACGCTACCAACTGCTCCTGTTTGTGAATCTCAGGGCCAAAAAAATGAGAAACGTAACATAAAAATT